AGTTCTTAGCAGTTACGTAGCTGTCCCTCTCCATATCCATCACTGGTTTGGTTTTCCTATCTGCCTTAAAGATGTTCTGAGGGGAAGAGTCTAATGGGACATTCACTTGAATCATTCTTGGCCTTGCCTTGACTCTGAAGACCCAGGCGGGACTCCTTCCTACCACATTTTTCTTTTCATTAAGTCTTTTATTAAGGTTCAGCTTAGATGACTCAAAGGATATCAGACTGGGAGAACAAGTCCATGGACTTTTTAAACCTCTTCATTACATCTTTCTGGTGATTTCAACAGCAGGTAGTTCTTAAACTTAGTGCATTGCTTGTAATTATATGACAGACCTGTTCAGGACAAGACTTTTCACGAGAAAAACAGGAAAAATGTACAAACTGCTGTACATGCTGATGCATTTGGTTATCTTCCTAGGTGTTTCTGAGAGAGTGAGCATCTACTAAAATAAGAAAGAAACGGGTAAAATTTCCTCAAGAGAGAGGTGATAGAATATTAAATAGGGCTTAAGTGTGACTGCTCTGTGTACTCCTAAATTAACATACAAATGGAAGGAAGAAGGAAAAAAAATACTTGCAGATGAGGAACCACAGAATTGTGGAATCACAGAATGGTTTGGGTTGGAAGGGACCTTAAGATCATCTAGGTCCAACCCCCTGCCATGGGCAGGGACACCTCCCACCAGCCCAGGTTGCCCAAAGCCCCATCCAGCCTGGCCTTGAGCACCTCCAGGGATAAGGCATCCACAGCTTCTCTGGGCAGCCTGGCCAGGGCCTCACACCCTCACTGCAGCCCAGACTGCCTCCAGTCTAAACCTCTTCAATGAGTTCATCCCCACTGGTGAGCACCAGGCCCAGCGACGCTTCTCCTCCGGTTGGGTTGTCTCATACCTGGACCATGAAGTTATCCTCAACACACTCTGGGAGTCTCCTGGATTGCTCACAGCCTGCTGTGGGGCTTCCCCAGCTCACAGCCAGGTGGGTGAAGCCCCGTCAGGGTGAGAGCATGCGAGCATGATGCTTCTTGTATGAAGCAAGAAAGCCTCGCATGGTGGGGTTGCCATTGCTTTGCACAGAACTGAAATCTCTGATATTCAGTCAATAGAGCAGAAGAAAAATGGTTTCAACGATTATCAGGTAATTCCTTAGTTTAAAAAAAGAATGAAAAGAATTTAAGACCTTTTAAAACTTCCTTCAGACGCATTCAGATGAAACTTTTTATTTGGTCTCACTTATCAGGCCTTCTCTATCATCTGTGTGCTATCTGTCTACCAAACAAAGTGTAATACATAAGCTTCCCTATTAATGATACCTTCAAGAAGGCAATTTTGGCAGCTTTTCAGCAAGCTTAGCAACATACTGAAGGTAAACAAAGAGAAATTGATTTCTCTATGAAGTCTTGCAGGGATAAGCTAGCAACTTCTCCATTTGACAGCTTGTTTTAAAATGGTTCGTCCTTGAAATCAAAGCATATTTTAATGCTCTTTAAATTTAAAATCTACGCAGTTTTAAATAAATCTAATTAGTTCACGGGCACATGTATTCTGTAATGTGGCTCTCAGGAAGTGTTTTAAACCTGCTGCATAAAACATCTTGTTTACACAGAAAACAGAAAGGGAAAAAAAAATGAAAGGATGCATTGTAACTTGCTAGGAGCAGCGTGAGTACAAGACAAAAGAAGAAACAGCAACACATACCATGTTTTTTTAAAACACACTTCACAATGCACTCAGTGTTTCTAGACAACAGTGGGAGCTGTTGCTGAAGCTGGAGGTAAACGCCAGTGTTGCTAATTAAAACACAGGCGACTGAGACACCAGTTGCAAATAACTTGTTTGCAGCCAAGGAGGGGGTTGACAATCAGTTTTATGTGCGAGTTGTTTTTATACATTAAAAGTGAAGAATTTTAGAATATTCACGTTGTGTTCTTATAGGAAATGCAAACACTCCTCTTTGATTTACTTCAGATAATCCAGAGGATGTAAAATAGAAGCTCCTACCTACTGGGGAGGTTTGCTGAGCCACAAATAATAGAGAAAGAAGAATGCTGAGCAGTAGTCTACTAGCAAAAAAAAAGATTGTGCTTCAGTTCGAAATACCACTTTGTGTTATTTTACTGGGGACTTTTATTCATATAATTAGGATTTAATACCCCAGATAATCCTGTCAGAGACCTAACATCAGCAGAGACGGTTTTGAGAATTTCCTTATTGTTACTTTTTTCCCCGTGCGTAGGAAGCACCAATTTTATAAGGATTATTTTTTTTTCCTCCACATGGAGAGAGTTGTAGCTGGTTGCTAGCTATGCACATTTTCCCTGTCTCATTTGGAGAGGTATGAACAACCCTGTGGATTTTTTGTATTGCTTTTAGAGGTAGTTTTGAGAGTCACAGTAGCTTTCCTCTTTGCCCCCGTAACTTACCTGCTATTCCCGTAGCTCTGCCACGTACAGAACAAATAACCTCAGTGCCTGGCTCTTGTTCTTTCTCCTTAAAAACAAACCAGAAACCAGAAAGGGATGAGATTGGTTTCTTCCATCCCTTCAGCTTGAGCTTCCTACTTGAGGAGGTTGCAATTTGTTTCTGGTTTTCTTCTTCTTACTCATTTTTTTTTTTTTTTTGGGGAGGAGGTAGAAAATCACAGAAGGGCTGGGGAGGACAGACCTAACAGCTGCTCTTGCAGCAGAGTCGTGCAGCCTGTAACGGGCTGCGTCTCTCACACCACATCTTTCAGCTGCTGTACTGTGCATCAGAGAGAAGGCACTAACCTCAGAAACAAATTCAGAGGTCTTTACACTGAAAAGTGTCCTCAAGTGTTTGCAGGGACCCAGAGCTCAGTCAAGCACTGCAAACAGAGATGCCTTCATCTCTCCTACCATCTTCTGAAGTTGACCTTTGAAGTATCAGGTCTTGTCTGGCACATAGTTAAAGCTGGATGATCCAGCTCTTCCTCCTGTAAAACGTTAGCATGTGCCTATCTCCAAAACCTTGTGATGTCCCCGTAACGCCAGCGTCTCAGATGTAATAGTGCTCTATTGACAGCTAGCAGAGTGTTGTTTACTGCTGCCAGCCGTGACCTGATCAGCAGCTGCACAGAAAAACTGGAAAATATGTGGATGCCTCAGCCAAGGAAGATTGAAAAGTCAGGCTCAGGAAAGCCCTGTTGCAGTTGACAAGAGACTGTTCAGAAAAGTCTGCTGCCAGGAGGTACAGTGTCAGCGTCTAGGTTTTTGAAGAGGATCTCATAAAGGTGTAGCTCTTTCTTTCCTTCGGATGTGGAAAGAAACACCAATACACCCTACGGAACAGCGGTTCCTCTGCGTGACTGTGAACTACCAAAGGGAAAGAATCTGGACCAATTTTTGAAGAGGAACAAAAAATATTTGGTGTACCCAGCTAGATTAGTGTATTTTCAGCAATATTTGGGTCGCTGCTGTTTACTGATTTTCTTCTGAGAACATAATATAACACGGCACTGCCTGCAACTTTGTGCTTGCCAGGTATTTTCTCCGTCTTGGTCTGATTCCATGTAAAATGCTGCTGCTGCCGTACTTCATGGTGATCTTACTCATTAGGAAGCAATTTCAGTCTCATTACCTACGTTACAATGGGTTTTGCCATTGGCTCTCTCCAGCTTACAAAGCAAAGAAATGGATTTCAAATCCAAATGCCACTAAAAAATAGAAACCCAAATGGTTGCTGTGGATGGAGATACGGCTCCCAGGCTAGACATTGTGATGGGAATCTGATCACAAACAGCCCCTTTTCAGCTCTAGCCTGGAGTATAAAGTTTAGACTGTAGCCTGGGATGTGACATTCATGTATTTTTCAAGACCAAAGGGACAACTATTGTACTAAAATAAATTAAAAATGCATGTCCTGAAGTCTGCATGCTTATTGCCCTCAGTACTCACACACGTTCGAGTGGCACGTCGCTGCGTTTCTGCACTGAGTCAGGACTGTGGAGAGCTGGTTTCTCTGGCAGGAAAAACACATCATAGATCCAAATGTATCTTAGGAAATTCTGACTTGAACCAGGTGTAAATTAAGGGGGAATAAGAGGAGCCGGGGCTTGCCCGGGTGCCCAGGACCCCGTGCAGGCGCCTTGTGCCGCTCTCCCAGGAGGATACCCCACAGCCTCTCTGGGCAGCCCTGCGTTCCTGGTAAAGAATTCAGCTTTCCAGCCACAAAAACATTGTCATTTTATAAGTCCTGTAATTATTTTCTAATATATTAATGGATCCTGACTCTTCTTTAGGCTTGTAGTTTTAAAACATCTAAACCGAGTAGACTTCTTCAGATACATTTCAGCATCTCTGCAGTTTGCTTCCTGCGTTTGCAGCGAGACGCAGTCCCGCTTGGCACTACCCTCTATTGTGAGACGACACCAGCACAAGAAAGAAATTGAATCCACAACACGGTTTCCGAGGCTTATAATTAAAATCTTTCCAAGGTCAGCGGAGGGCCTAATGATTTGTCTGCTGGACTTTGAGAAGAAGCAAATGTTTTGACAAACTGTTATTTATAGCAAGACTGATGTCCTAGATTTATGTTCCTACTCCAGTTTCTGTGGTGTAGCAGCTCTGTTACAGATCATGCCAAGCGAGATGATGTTACAAAAGCTGTTTTATTTGATGCTGCAGTTTACTATCACTACAAAACTATTACTGTTTTGAATGGCTTTTTTTTTTTTTAATGAAGAGGCTAAATAATTTAAATAATTGCCCCAAAATGTATCAGTGGATGAAAATGAACTGGATTTGAGCAGAGATGCTGCATCCTTCGTAGCACTGGCATAAAACTGGAAAAGGCA